GTGAGGGGATCAGAGAGGAATCAAAGGGACTCTCTCCCCCTCTCTCTTTTTCTTTCTCTCTCTCTCTCTCTCTCTCTCTCTGTGTGTGTGAGAGAAATCGCTCAAATATTCTTATCACTTTCAGACCTCGAATGTTGTGTCAAGAATATAGTTCTTTGGGCTTGAAGATAATAATTGCATGTGTTATAGATGAGAGAAATGTTGCTGAGTCCTGGTAGGTGCTTGCCGTATAAGAAGCTGCTTTATCTCATACAGGTGCCTTCGTCGCACTGGAGTCAAGAAGATCTATCATCTTGAATCTTCTTATGCAGAACACTCATCAATCTTTGGTGGTCGATTGTATGGAAGCAGCATTTTGGAGCTACGGCCTTCTCTGCTGTACCAGACAGCAGCCCGTCGAAAACCTGGAATCTCTGGAGCGGAAGTCTGAAAAGCAACACACAGAAGGCCGTACGTTCAAAAACATGATGCACATTGCTATGATGCTATGACGCTGGACCCCTTTCCAATAGATGGAGTCTCTCCACCAATAGATGGAGTCTCTCCCCAGGTGATAGTGGCGTCTGCTCTTATCAGCACCACCACTAGCACTAGAGCGAGTGTTAAAAAAAAAAGAAAAAAGAAAGAAAAGAAAAAAAAAAAGCCTACTCAGAATGCAAGAACGGTATGCCCAGTCGATCTGGATCCTCCTATCAGCAACACACACAGAAGGCAAGTACCAACCAGGATGTCAACAGGCTATAAATACCTCTCTCAAAACACATGGTGTGAGCAGCACACACAAGGTATTGTAAAAGAGTTTTGAGCGGCGCCTGTCTGGTATATGGAAGGCTGTGGGTCCAAAATGCTGCTTCGATACAATCGACCACCTAATATTGATGAGACCTACGGCCTGGAAAGCATCTGCTGGACCTACGGCCTTCTGTGTGTTGCTGATAGCCTAACGTCATAACCTTTGCAACCATCAAGATTCCAACCTGCTTATACCAGAGTGAACTGACATAGCAATGTGATGGAGCGGAAGTCGGAAAATGATCAATCGGACTCATATGACGTGGATCCCAGACAATGTACTCATCATCATCACTGGGAATGGCAAGGAGGGGGAAGATACATAGAGGAAGGGTTCTCCTACAGTCTTCCCCGAATACAACGCACGGTCATTATAGCCGAATTTGGTCATCTTGCAGTCTAAATTCAGCTATAATGACCGTACGTTGTATTCGGGGGAAGACTGTAGGCTCCTAGCACATCTCACACACATGGGGGGGTAACCATGGATGATGAGGGGAGGAAATGTGACAAGAGAAGGAGCGAGAGAGTCCACGAACAACAGTTGAAATGATAATAGTCTCTCTCAATCTGCAATCTTCTCCAGTACAATGTTGAGTTGGAACCTGGGAGCGGTCTCCCTGAAATCGTCGCCACGCCTCTGATCTCTCTCTCTCTCTCTCTCTCTCTCTCTCTCTCTCTCTCTCTCTCTCTCTCTGAAGTAGGGCTGTCTCCTCCTCCTGTATCTCTCCTCTGTTAAGATCCTGGTCATTTCCCAAGTGCAAATTCACAATGAAAGACAATGCCACCCAATTGCGAAAGAAATGAAAGCACTTGCAAAGAGATAAAGACCAGAGGAGAGGTAAAGAAGAAGAAGAAGAAGAAGAAGAAGAAGTACACCAGCAAGACCAATGACAATTCCCCCTTCTCTCTCCACCTTCCTCCTCCTCCTTCTCTTCACCAATCTTATTCTTCTCTCAATAATAATAATAACAATGAATGGATGAACCAGAATCAATATCCGAAGTTCCCTCTTACTGCTGACTCAACTCAACAACATCAACAACAACAACCAGTCCACCATAGCTATGGCTTCCCTCCTTCAGCCTCCTCTCTCATGCATAGGCTATGGCGGACTAATGAGGGCCTTGCCCTGACGTCCRAAGGAYAACCCAAAGCAGCTATGGTGCTGCGCCGATGTCCAAAGGACAACCCAAAGCAGCTATGCCGCTGCTGACTGGTCCGCCATGCCTGAYTCTGCCTCGAGCTTTCTTGGTGCYGCACTACCCCAACTGGGGCCTTCCAGCTGCAGCGCCCAACAAGGTGATGAAGATGGTGTCTACCATAGCCAGGTAAGTGCCCCGCCACTCTCCTACCATGCCCCCTTCTTCCTCCTCCTCAAGCTGGACTGCTCGCCATAGCCAGGGCTGAGCTCCAGCGCCCCTTCTCCTCCAAGCAGCGCTGCACCAGTCCAGCGCTGCGATCCAGCAGCATGTCGCCAATCCTTGCACACCGCAAATGAGGAAGAGCTCTTTGCTCTTCCTGGAAATATAGCGGGCTACCGGCCTCCTGGGCGGTGACTTCCTAGGCCRAGCGGCCTCCCAGCAACCGGTACCTCCTCCCTTTCGGAGGGAAACATCATTGCAGGCTCTGCTATCCTCCATACAGGCCCTAGACCCCGCTACTTGGACTGGTACCGGCCTACCGCTATCCTATCGCTACTGGGCCTCTAAAAATGCCAACTTTTTGTCTTCTTCTGCTCGGCCTCCAGTAACCGACACCCCTACCACTACTTGAGTGGTACTGGCCTACCTGCTACTTGAGTGTTTTTCCCCGCTGTTCTAAGTGTTGGGGGCCTACCCCCGCGAGTGTTTTCCCCCCTGCAACCCTCAAAGTCACGACCACAAGTTAGTACCGGCCCTGCGGGGCCCTTCAACCAACAAGTACCCTTGCGGGTCATACACACACTCAACCGACAAGCACTCAGACAGGCATGCAAACCAGCAGGCACGCACACACACAGACATGCAAATCACAGCAGAATGCGGGAATTTCAGCAAGGCATTCATTCCAGCGGCATATCCCAGGAATCACCAGTGTACTCAGTCTGTGTTTTTGGTGGGTCATTACATTACCCCCCTCTCAAGAGTGAGGTCCCTTCGAGCGAGTAACTCATTCAGAGTTGGCACAAAATTCATCATAAGAGTAAATAAGAAAGAGAGACTTAGTAAGTCCGTGAGGAGTCATGGTTGCCACAAATTTAGCAGTCTGTCCCTCAGTGATCTGTCGTTCATAAGCGTTCACACCACGGTGAGCATTCTTTAGCAGCTCTTTTCGGTCGATCCAAAAGAATTCAGTCAATGGGTGATAGAGGAAGTGAACCTTGTACTGTCTGTTCCTCCCTCTTCCCTCGTGAGAAACGATTCTGTCTATCTCATGGCCGCCGTCGATAGGGCGAGGTATCATAGGGTCTCGGAAGGGAGAAGTCTCATCATCAATACGTGGAAACAGTTTGGACGCATGAAAGACCGGATACGTGCGCAGATGAGGAGGCGCGTCAATCACATATGAAGGACCAAAATCATCCCCAATCACGTTCAGAATCTGCCAAGGGCCATAGTACAATGGAAGGAGTTTTCGTGATATGCCCTCTTCATCAGAAAACTCAGACATCTTAACCCGAACATAATCCCCTACTTTGAATTTTTCTTCTTTGCGCAACTTGTTAGCATGTTTGATCATGGCATGCTGGCGCTTGTTCATGGCTGCAATAACAACTTTGAGCAAGCGTGCGTACTTGGCATTGTAGCCAGGCATGCCGGACATCAGACCAGGTGACTGTTCGGGGAACAGATAGGAGAGGGGATTACGCATCGGCCATCCATATTGCAACTCGATTGGTGTCACACCGCTTGCAGAGTGAATGGAGTTGTTGTACAGTCCCTTCACTTTGTGCAACTCCTTTTCCCAGGTGTTCTGATCTGGAACAATCAATGCGCGAAGTAGTTGGATGACAGTCTGGTTGATCTCCTCAGCCAGTCCATTGGCTTCGGGGTGTCGACCAGAAGTCTTGTTCGGTTTAATGTCATAGATCTGCGAGGTGGAGTCCTTCCAATCTTTGCTAATGAATCTGGTGTCCCGATCACTCACAATAGTTTTCGGGATGCCAAACTGCAGAATGTACTGCTGATGGAATTCTTCAATGACAAGTTCAGTCGGGGCATGGGGAGGGAAAGGAATCAAGTTCAGAAATTTGGAAAAACGGTCCACGATGACCATAACTTGTGAGTTTCCAGCCTCACTCACCTTTCCCATGTCCGTGAAGTCGATGGAAATCGACCTGACATTCAACAATAAATTTTTGAGCGTGCCTTTCATTCCTGCCCAATCAAACTGCTGCAGAAGGCTTCCATAAGTCTTCTCAAAGCCGAAGTGTCCACTCCGACCATGTGCCAAATCCAAGAAATGAGTCCGGAGAGGCGCATGGTTGGGTACACACAAACGATCAAACTTCCCATACCGGCGGAATACAAGACCCTCGCACTCATGAAAATCAGGCTGACTGTTAGGGTCAGCCTTGAGCTGCTCAAGGATGGG